AAAGAAAGAGGTTTGACTAGGTGATCTTCAGATTTTTTCTCTTGCTATAACTTTATGTGATTTCCCAAGACTATTTGAAAATCACTTAATGTCAGTGCCACAAGCTGTAATTAAAATAAAGACACAGACAGCAACATGAGAAGGGAAGGTCGGGGCAGCCGATGTCAGGAAGGAAGCACAATACTTTAACACAGTTGGCTCATTTTACAAAACCATGTGACCACGGTGGCCAAATCACCCCCTGAAATATTATTAGATTTTGTCTAAATTTTCCATGTTGACTAGGAATTCAAACAGAGGAAAGGCTTGATGCTGTCGATTTAGAAAGAATCCTAGAATACAATAAGGTAGAAAATTTGGTAGGTGTTCCTTTGATTTCCGAGTGAAATCATAATTGCTCACCTTGATTTGCTGCATCATTTCTTGTGGGCAAACCCTCAGAATTCCTGGAGTTTTGTCCTTGGATGATTAGACAGGTCTGAGAATCTCGAGAGCTTTCTTCATTATGATCAGGAGAAATAAACAGTAAAATCTAAGTATATTAGGGTAGAATTTTAGAAAACATAGTGAGACCTGAGTTTCCATATTTGCTTCATATTAGGGGGGAAAGCCTATGTTTTGAGAATTTTTACCTTTCTATCTGCCTCTATGCTTTTTTACTTACTGGAAAGAAGAATTGCAGAGTGCCAGAGGTACAGGTGTGAACTTTTAGTCTTTCAAAAGCCAATTACATACCAACGTTAAGATGGTCAGCCACCATAAAGGTAATATATACATTATTAATTAAAGGAGAATGAGGCTTGGCGCTGTGACTCACACCTGTAATCCCAGCACTTTGGGAGACCAAGGTGGGCAGATCACTTGAGGTCAGAAGTTCGAGACCAGCCTAGCCAACATAGCAAAACCTCATCTCTACTAAAAATACGAAAATTAGTCCCCCAGGTGTGGTGGTCCACACCTGTAGTCCCTACTTGGGAGGCTGAGGCGGGAGAATTGCTTGACTCCGGGAAGCAGAAGTTGCAAGGTTGCAGTGAGCTGAGATCACACCCCTGCACTCCAGACTGGGCAACAGAGTGAGACTCCATCTCAAAAAAAATAATAAAATAAAGTAAAATAAAAAATAAAGGAGAATGAGTTGAAATTTATCTGACCCAAATATGTCAACATGCCTACTTCTTCCAGACCAACATTTTCATAGATCTCTATGGAACGCTACATGAAGGGTAGACACTGGCCAAATGACAGGCTCCTCTGAGTGCAAATCAAGAACTCAGACTGTCTTGTGTTAAAGAAGAGACAGCTCTTTGGAAACTCTGTGATTTAGTCCTTTCTTTTCATCTGAGTGCTTTTGGGAGGGGAAAAAATTGCTTCATATTAGTTCCATGCAGTGATTTTTCATTTTTATGACCGAAAATTATTGAAGTTCCCCTGTGGCCCAAAGGCTGAGGAAGTGGTCCTCAAAGAGCCAAGAGCAGACTGGGGTAAACAATGCCCTGCCGATTAATGAGTCCTGCCTCATTACTTTGTGTAAAGTTTCTCAGGTGGGCAGTTACCTCGTAATTTCATTTTAGCAGAATGAGAGTTAAGGGACATTGATGCAAGTACACTGCTCCCTTCAATCATTTTGTCAGAATAGCTTTCGATTTGCAGGGAGTTGCATAAGGAAAAGGAGGAAGATTGAACTTCTTAGATTTTTTTGAAAGCAACACACATTTTATAGACATCATATTGTGGAATAAAGAAAGTTGTCAAATGAGGGGTTTCTTAATAAAGTTGCTTTGCCTGTTATTTTGTTTACTCTTTTCTCTTGACCAAATTTCTCTTTGCTTCTAAGAAGAGATAAAAGTAGAGGAGTGGAAGGAAGAGGGAGCGAGGGGTCAGAAGACCTAGGCTTGAATACCTATCTCAACCTCCAAATCCTATTCTCAAACGTGGGGAATGGGTGATATTTTCTCTTACCTCACAAAGTTATGTTGAGACTCAAATGAAATAATGTCAGAAAGAGCAGTGTTTAAGATGATTTTTTAATCTTCACAATTATAACTTGTTTTTCCTAAGGAGAAGTTCAAAGCTCTCCTCCCCTTTTCCCCACCCAAGAGAAAGAGGAGATCATGTGAAGATGTCAGGGTTAAGAACATTGTACTGCTCAGTGACAGCACATGGAATCTCACTGCCTGGTGAAAAGCTGAGCTCTTTCTGGAGTTCCTCAATTTCACTTGGCAAGAGTTAAACCTCAGGAAAACCAGCTCAGCGTTCTATCTCTTTGCAGATGTTTGGGTACCACTTAGACCACAGGCACTGAGACACTCATAGAATTTGAGTGCTGAATTTTTCACGGCCTATGTTTATTAGTATGCATATCTCTGCTGTTCTAGTGGATCACTGCATTCTCAAATAGGAAGGGTACTTGAAAGTTTAGATTAGGTGCATAAAAGCTAAAAATTCAATACAAATCATTCTTAAGAACAAAAAAAATTTCTTTGTAGTACAATGAATTTTGGCAGATGAGGGGGTTCACACTAACTGGTATTAGAATCAGTAAACCCTTCCCTTGCAACCGCCTTAAGAAAGTCACACACTATAGAGAAAGGCTTCAAAGAAACCTGATGAAAGTAAGTTAATAGAGCATTGACCTTGGGCCATTTACCGTAGATAATCTCTTTCTGCAGCCCACCCTGTCAATCCGCCACCCATATCCGCTTGTCTGCCTGAGCTCTGTACTGCCAGAGGGTATTTGCTGTCTGCAGGAATGTGTACTGCAGCTCACCTACCCCGACTGCACAGCAAGTTGAAAGTGCCAGATAGAGTCCTAAGAATGACTTTGAGCAAAAGAGTAATGCGAATTGGTATCAATAACTGAAGAATCTAGGTTGTAGGTGTACAATGTAAAATTCCTGACACTTTTCTAAATGTTTGAAAATTTTCATCATAACATGTTGAATGAGATGGTATTGTAAAAGGCATGCATGGGAAAATATTCAACATATGTTGATGAATAAAAGTGAATGAAAGTTACAAAACAGTACACACTATGATCACAATGTTGTATATATAAAACGTGTATGTGTATACATATATATGTATATACACACACTGAATGTGTATATGTAGACACTCATTAAATAGAGAGAGAGACATGTAGATAGATAGGTTTGTACATGCCACTTTCAATGTCTTTACTTGTATTAGATACAATATTTTTGGAAGGAAACACAACAAAAAGATAGCAATTGTTGGCTATGGGTAATGACCATACAGATAATTTTAAAATAAACTTCATATTACTTCTCTGTACCTTCTAAATATTCTATAATGTATTTATTTATATAGTCAGATTAAAAATATTATTTACTAATTGTGATTTGAACAGTGTTTAGTGATGGGGAAAACAAAGGTATACATAGTTGTTGTTCTGCGGTATGATTACAATTGAAAGCCATATATGTTACCTCGGAAGGTTTTATGATCTTTTTATTGCTGGTAACCGAGGGGAAGCAGATAAAAGTGTGTTGTAAGTGAAATCACAAAGGTAATAACGCTTGTCTCTAAGATGTAATTTTAGGGGGATTTTTTTTAAATTCTAAAGCTTTTTGTTTGTCTTGATTTTCTACAAAAACACTTATTATTTTTACCATCAAACAAAATACTTCATTTTAAAGGGAGAAGGCCTAAGTGTTTATTTCAGGCCCAACAGCATTTGTAGCTATGCTTCTCATAGGACTGTCATGAGTCAAATGAAATTATAAATGAGAAAACACTCTTTTACAAATTTAGAAATGTAGAAATTATTATATAATATGTTATTATAACACGTTAAGGTAATTTTTTTTGCAGCTTTTCAAACTCCAGAGGTTATTTTAAGCATTAAGAGTATGAGGCTCTTTTTACAAATAAATCTTCAGGCTCTACTGATTCACCTTTCATGGGACTCATTTTTCATTGAATAGCCAGAGCATAACAAGCTTCATACATCATTATCTAAGTTGAGGAGCAGTGAGAATCTGTAGCAGGGGAGAATTTTATTAAAGCTGTGCATGCCAGTGCTCTCTTTCTTTTCACACTCAGAGCCTAGAGCAATATTAACTAACGGAAACACGTCCAACATTAGGTAAACACAAAATTGGTAAGCAGAGGGAACTGTGAGGCACCTTTATATCCCATGGAGTATGTGACGGTTTACCTATCCTCAGTTCCTTCCCTGTCTGTACATACATGCCAGTCCTTGGTTCAGCCAAGGAGTCTATTCTTCCTCCAGCTTGGATCTGAGTTGGCCTGATTGCTTGGGCCAGTAGGATACAATAGAAGTGCTAGAGGTGTTTGAACCAGAGCAACTCCATCTTCAATAGGAACTGGTTAAAATGAGGCTGAGACCTGCTGGGCTGCATTGCCAGGAGGTTAAGCATTCTTACTCACAAGATTAGATAGGGAGTTGGTAGGACTGGTATCACAAGACACAGGTCATAAAGACCCTGCTGGTAAAATAGGATGTAGCAAAGAAGTTGGCCAAAACCCACCAAAACCAAGATGACCAGAAAAGTGATATCTGGTCTTCTTAGCTGCTCATGACACGCTAATTATGATGCATTATTATGCTAAAACACACTCCCACCAGGGCCATGACAGTTTACAACTGCCATGGTAACATCCAGAAGTTACCCTTTATACTATAAAAAGGGCAAGAACCCTCAGTTCTGCAAATTCTTCACTTGTTTCCTGGAAATCTCATGAATAATCCACCCCTTATTTAGCATATGATCAAAAAATAATCATAAAAGTAGCTAGCCAGCATGCCTGAGGGCTGCTCTGCTTATGGAGTAGCCATTCTTTTGTTCCTTTACTTTTTAAATAAACTTGCTTTCACTTTAATCTGTGGACTTGCCCTGAATTCTTTCTTGGGTGAGACTCTACCCAAGAGAGAACCTTTTCTTGGGGTCTAGATCGAGACCCCTTTGCTGTAACAGAAGTGATGTTGTGCTGATTTTGCTGCTATCCTTTCTCAGGACTGGCAATGCCTGCTGCTTCCTCTGAGCTGTCAAGTAAGAAGTCCAGGCTACTCTGCTAGAAAGAGAGGTCATGTGCAGGAGCACTGAGACATCCCAGGTGTGGCACTCTTCCACCTAGAACATTCTGTCTGTCATCCTCTGCCATGTGTAAGCCTTCCGCCTTAGTTGGGAAACTGTGAGGCCATCCTGCTATGTTCGTGATCAGGTTGGCAATTTTAATTTCTGTTTCCAGAGGAGCATTGAATGGAGTAGATGGATCAGGACGCTCCTTTGGCACTAGCTCTAAGCTGCATTCTCCTATCAGTTTTGTCAGTAATCAAGCCCTTGAATTCTCCATCTCTCTATGCTGTCTGATTTCTTAACCTAGAGGTGGGGGTGGAGAAGAGGTTTGACTCATTATCATCCCCTCAAACATCAACACTTGAGGATTTTCCTTTATCTACGTAATTAGGAAAATTGCTGGGATAAATTCTAGCATGAATCTCTTGTCATTGATTTTATCTGCACTGTAGGAAGCCATTTCAATTACACACCCATGTCTCCAGGTCATCTGAGTATTCTGACACAATTTGCCCTAGCCATACAAGTATAATGGGCTCCAAAGCTTTAGCTTGTAGGTAAAACACACATACATTTTATCTTTAATATTAATGTAAAAACTGCTGTGCTTCTATTAATGAAAAAGAAAGTTCCAGCTTTCAGCTGTTAATATCAATGAGTATTGATAATTATACACTGTAGATAATTACAATTGCTATCATTGTGCATTAATATTTTTTAAATTTCCTGAAGTAATAGGGATTTTGACAATAGTGGTAATATTGGTACTTGTCATTTTGTCCATTTTTATTTATTTATTTATTTTGGGATCCATGTAAGTTACAAGTGGTGGTTGAAATGTATCAGGAAGCCAATTCTGTAATAAAATATTATTACAGATAAAACTCTAACCCTAAAATTTGAAAAATACATAAACAATACTTTATGTGACATGGCCTTGAGCTGACTGCAATCAGCTTCAACAAGGTAGATACAGAAAAAAGTCTGGCTCTGTGTAGCAAAAGTGGGTGGTTTATAAATATGTGGGCATATTGTGTGAAAACTGATAAACAGAGTTACTCATATCTGTCCTCCTTAGCCATCAACTTTCTTATTGTTTAAATCTCTGTTCATTTCCTGGATACTTTTGGACAGTACCCCATTTGTCTCTCCATCACTACCTGTAATCCCTGCTTTTCTGTGCTTGTTACATAAAGGTCATAGCTTCATGAGCTCTTTAGAGAGATACCGATGATTATGTTGAAAGTACTTTGAGAACTAGTAATGTGCTACCCCAAATAGTCATTGTTTTTGTGTATAATCACATAGCATGCATTAGGAATTGGTGTCTTAGAATGGGCATGCAAATTGTACAAGATTGTGCAGTTATTACTAAATGAAACTGGAATGCAAAACTTTGTTTCCCTGATTCCAAACGCCATGTTTTGAACCACTAGATTAGAGGGTGAAGCAATTTCTTGGAATTTTACTCTGAATTCTACGTAGATAATTTTCATGTGTATACCTCCTCTGAGTCACCCTCAGGTAGGGACATTTTGTTTTCCATTCAACTGATAGAAATTCTAATAGGCTTAATAGATGCTTTTTCTTTTCTCTTCTGCAGACAGCATACATTCCTTGCTCCCATTATCCATTTACATTTAATCTGCCCAAAATAAATTACTTCCATTTTCACTTCCTCTTTCTCACTTCTCATTTTTATCATAAAAGAGTGAGCCTGCCGACCACTATTTCCCTCCTCTGTCCATAGCCTACCCATTGCTTACTACCTCCCCTCCCTGCATGTTCCTTCCCAATGACATGGAAACAATCCTCTCATACTCAAATCAAAAGCAAAAACAAGAACAAACAAATAAGCACAATAATTCTTTCTACCTATGTTTCCTCTGTCTGTTCTACTTCTCCTTTCACAACCAACCCCCTGAAAAAGGTTTTGAAATACACTGTCTCCATATCCTCATGCAACATCCACTCCTGTCCCTGTTTCCCCTCTCTGGCCACCCCATGCACATGGCTCTCATTTGTTGAATCCCACAGGCACCTTTTTATACATGGCTTATTTGGCCTTCAGCACTGACTCTATTTTCAACTCACTCTTGGAAAGACACTTTCCTTGGCTCCCTTCCTCACGCAAAACATCCTTGTGGTTTCCTCATGTTTCCTTAGACACATTTTCTAGTCTCCTTAGCAGGCTGTATTGTCTCTCACATGTTTACACACCCTCTTTCTTTAGGGCCTTTTCTCTTTTTCTTTCTCTGGACTGGTTTTGAATACACCCCCACTTTCTGTTTATATTGGTAGGACCCTACATTCCAGTGACAGCATTCAACCTAGTCTTTGGTTTTGGTCTTGCCCTAGTGGTCACTCTGAAACGCAAACCTCATCATGCCACTTTCCTCCTTAAAACCCTTTAAAGGTTTTCTCATGCACTTGGGTGAAATTCAAACCACTTTCCAGTGTTAAAACTTTTGAGCTAGGCCAAATTAACATTGATGTACAGAGTTGTGAACTAAAATTCCGGCAGGGTGGCAGGGTCCTGTGGAGAGGAGTCCTTATTAGTGTTTTTTACACATTGAACCTGTAATGCATGTTCCTATTGTTACGAGTTTTAGGAGGCTGGGCTTCTTCAACAAATGATCTCAAATGCAAAAGACATTTATTTCTTCCATACCTAATGGCCTGAGGTGGGTATTACTTTTTGACACGAAGGTCTCCTTTATTTGGGATTCAGGGAGCCCCCGCCAAGGGCCTCATCATTTTTGGCATCCAACGGACAGAAAGTTTAAGGGACCCTGGGGGAGGCACCCAATAATTCCACTTCCTACTCTTCACATAACTATTCACACTATTGTGATCATATCTAGATGAAAAGGGGTTGGAGAATGTCATTCCTGGGTGGGAAGCCACTTCCCATGGATAGCCCTGCACTAACAAAGAGAAATCTGTCCAGAGCAATCCTTCTCTGCTGAACCTGGTAGTGTCATCTTTAGAAGTGAAGACACAATTAGCACATGATCATTTGTTCATTATATCACTGTTAATAAAAGAGAAAAAAGTTAAAAATAATGGCGAGAGCTCAATCTATGTGACAGGTAGGTAAAGCAGTGATTAGGGTGGGCATGATTCTTACTCTTTTGGAGGTCTGGGCAGGATGCTGTGGAAATACAGTGAGGGCATGGTGCATGCAGTGATAACAAGGGACAAGATGCGTGAGCTTATGTTTGATCACTTTCGCTCTCAGGGGCGATGCTGTGTGGTTTACTTTGTCATTCCGCACTCAACATCAAATAATATTTTGGCTGATCCTGCTGCTCCCATTTTATATTAGGTAATTGGAAGACCGAAACTTTTTCTTGAAGACAAACATGTCGTTCTCTAAACAGAGTTCATTCAGTATTGTTGATTGAGATTGTAGGAACCTTGTGTACTCTGCTCTCTGAGGAATTTCACTGGAACTCTGACTTCAGCCAGCATGAAGCTCTCAAACCACAAAATAAGTCTAAACTCTACTGGGAATTTTCTTTCCTTCACAGTTGCTTCTGAATAGAGATAAGCCTTCAAAATTTTCCTTGGATATATTTACCAACAGGGAACTGCCCCTAAAAATGTTCCTCCCACAATCTTGCATTCTGAGACAATGGAACATTAGTATTGAATAATTACCACTGGTAACCTGAAAATGCAAATTCACTTCTTACCACAAAATCAGAGTTAATCACTAAAATTGTGCCTACCTGGAAAAACCACTTGAGCAGGCACCTACACAGTAGATGCAAAAGGCTTGTGTGATGTTGGGCAAGTTACTTGCTATCATTTGAATATTTGACCCTCCAGATGTCACGCTGAAATCTGATCCCCAGTGTTGGAGGTGGGGCCTAATGGGAGGTGTTTGGGTCACCACGGTGGCTCCCTCATGAATGGGCTGGTGCCATCCTTGAGGCAATGAGTGAGTTCTTGCTCTGTTAGTTCTTGCAAGAAGTGGTTGTTAAAAAGAGCCTGGAACCTCTCTACCCCTCTTACTTCCCCCTGTGCCATGTGATCTCTGTAAATGCTGGCTCCCCTTCACCTCCTGTCAGGATTAGAAGCAGCCAAGATCTTCACCAGATGCAGGTGCTGGTGCAGCCTGCAGAACCATCCACCAAATAAACTTTTTTTAAAATAAATTACCCAGCCTTAGGTATTCCTTTATAGCAACATAAATGAAGGAAGACATTACTCAACCTCAGTGTGTGTGTGTGTGTGTGTGTGTGTGTGTGTGTGTGTATATATATATATAAATTGGTGCTAATAATTGCTACCTCACAAGCTTATCACGAGGATTAGCCAAGATACCCTCTAGGAAAGCACATTGCACAGAAGAGATGCCCCAGTAAAGCTGAATTTCTTTCCTTCATTCCTTTTCTTTTTTCCTCACTTTTTTCTTTTCTTTCTTCCCTTTGTCCTCTTTTCACGCTCACCTCCCCTCTCCTCCTATCCCTTAATGGTAGAACTGGAATCTGCAGGAGAGGACCATAGAGATTTAGAGAGAGGAAACTGACTCTGAAAGTCAGAGGTCAGTGCAAAGGAGGGCAATAGGGAGAGAAATGGGGCTGAAGGCAAAAGGTAAATAATAAAAACAAAATAGATTCTGCAGTAAGACACTGTCACAGATTGCATGCTTCCTACAATCAGCCAGAAACTCTTTCTGGCTAAGTCAGCCTCAAGCATGTTAGTGCCCAGAGAGAAAGAACAGAACAGGATCTCTCCGCTGGCCCACCCTCAGCTGCCAGCCATCCACCTTTTTCTGCAGCCCTTTGTAAAGGCTTCTTGTTTGGAAAGTTCTTTATCTTCCACTTTGCGTGTGCCTTTCAACTTCCTATGTATATTTAGATGCTCAGCTTAACTATGCCTTAGGCTCTGTAATTTATTCCTGCAAGTGTCCCCCAACCACAGCATCCTGCCAAACTTCTGATATGCATTTACTAGTTCAGTTCAGGCCCAAAAGAATTTGTTGTGTCTCCCATTTTCCGTGTATGAGGCCAGGGAATGGGTATGAAATAGTCTCACTCCCAAAGCTATGCCAGTAGGGGAAGAGGTTCCCCAAACCC